ACAACAAATTCGAAGAACGCGCACGATCCTTCCAATGGACATTTTGCTCTGCCACAGAGATCTGCGCGGGAGTTGCGGGAATGCTTCATGCAGTTTGCCTGTTTGTACGAGCAGCTCAGCGACAACTTCAGGGCTTCCAAGCGCAAAGCCTTCAACATCACTGAGAAGCAACCGTGGCAATCAGTTTGGCAGAATACGTTCACAAGTTTGGTTTCTGTCATGAGAACTAGTCTGGGCACATGTTATGTAAATGTTTTGTTTTTGGTTTTCTCTCTTTCTTTGCGCACGCAGTCCCACAGGCTTCACTTCACTGCCCACATCGTGGACCTGGCTTGCTTTGTGCATCCGAAGTTAACCTGGTGCTTTCGAGGGAAGGATTACATGTCCAAGCTTGGGGGCCTCATGAAAACTTGCGTCCGAGGAGTTTCCAGGGAGAGCGCGAGCCACCAAGTCGCGGCAAAGTACCGCTTAGCCATGCACATGGCTTGGAAGCCCAACCTCAGTTGAGGGGAAACAAAACGCAGGTAAAAAGGTGCTTCATGTCCTGCTGAATCAAGCCCATGCTCATTTTGTCGCAGAGATTGGGGGTTATAGCATAAACACGCATTTATACTGCAGGCGTGATGGCTTCAGAGCAAGCACAACTGCTTAGTGTGGTCACTTGTGTGCGTTCAAAAGCAGAAATGGTTTTGTTTTTCAAGTGGAGTTCACTGTGACTGAAACAGCTTTTGTTTCTTTCACGGTAGATACTGCGACGACAGTTGAAACCGCACATGTTGGAGCCCTCGTTGCTGGACAAAGTTGTGGCCGAGAAGAAGGCCTCCCTGAGGACACCTAAGAAGCCAGCAAAAAAGACATCCGTAGACCCAAACGCTGATGTTGATGGCATGGAGAGTTGCTTGCGAGACTTCATGCAACGTCGGAAGTCTACAAACCTGTGGATGTTGGTGCTGCCGCCAGTGTCAGGGCCAACAAAGTGGAACTGGAACACACGACCCCAGCCTCAGTGGATGCTTGGTTTGGTGGATCTGTGCTACGAGATCATTGTGAAGGTTGCGAAGAATTCGAAGCTCTTGCGGTCAGTTGCGAACAAGGCCATTTCCAAACTGCTGCTGCAGGGCAGGGCCACAAACAACACATCGAGAAAAGACAGGGATTGGGCTCAGGATGTGGGATTTGTGATCCGTCTGATTCTTTACTGGTATAGAAAAGCTGCGGAGCAATCAGCTTGCTGCGAAGAAGTCCTCAAGAAGTTGAAAGGCGATGAAAAGATTAAGGCCTGGAGATGACTGAGATTTGCGTTTGACACTCAAGACCAGAGTTGCATCTTGCGATGGCCCACGCTGTATGTCACTTGCCTAGAGGAACACGCCAACAGGGTTCCTTGTGGTTGAATTACAAGACCGAGGCATAACGCGTTTGCAATCGAGTCAAGGTTGTATATTCTCCAAAGACATGCAGCCCTTTTCTATACCACGCGCGCGGCGCAGGTCGAGGCCGTGATTTAAAGACGAAAATGAGGAGGGGGCTCGCACCATATGCGAGCCGACTCACGATGACCAACACTCGGACTCAGGGGAGGAGATGCAGTCTTTCGATTTCGAGCAGATGTACGAGAGGACCCGACAGGCTGCCAGCATGGACAAGGAGGCAGAGAGAGCAAACAAGGGTGACCTGAAGACAAAAGCAACATCTTCGAGTCTGGAAGTATCGGCAAGTTCCTCCAGCCGTGACACCAGTACCGCTGACACCGACACACGCAGCGCATTGAACCTGGCTTCAAGCTCAAAGAAATTGTCAGACGAAGACATCATAGCAGCAGCGCTGAAACACCCAGAGCGCGTGGCAGCAAAAATGTAAAACAAAGCCGAAGAGAAAACGCTGTACTTCCTCAGAAGACAGCTTGTTTGAAGAACTGAAAGAGGCGCCCCCCCCCCCCAAAAAAAAAAAGAGAAAGATTCCGCCGACAGAGCCCAAGGCAAAGGCCAAGGCAAAGCCCAAGGCAAAACCCAAGGCAAAGGCGAAGGCAAAGGCCAAGGCAGAAGCCAAGGCAGAATCAAAGACCAAGGCACAACCAATGAAGGCAGACGAGGGCAAGAAGAGAAAGGCGCAAGCGCGAGCCAATCAAGACATGTCTTGCTCTTTTTCCACCCCCAAAGCAAACATGGCGGGCACTCTGACCAGGGCGAAGGATGGACATGTTTGGCAGTTTGATCACCGTAGCTTTGTCCAATTTGTTTGGCTCTCTCTACCGTGCGTCAGGCGAGAAGCTTGTGGGAGACGTACCTGGACTTTAAGCGCGTGCAGAAGGAGCTCGGTGTGGGCCAACATGAGGCTCATCAAAGATGGCTATTGTCAGAGGACAGAAGGACGGTTTTGGCAACCATGAGCGTTTCTGAAGAAAGGGAGGTTCGTGGAGTCGGGCGCGACTGTCAATCCTTTCATCAAATAGAGTGACAGTTGATACACATGATAGTGTTGATGCTGCGGTGGTCCAGATTCTGCATGAGGCAGAGAGTTTTTTGCGGCAGGATCTGCCGATGTAGACTCTATAGCAAGCGTGTGCGGGACAAAATGTGTTTGTGACAGGAGACCCGCGCCGCTTGTGCAGTGCATCAAATAGAGTGACAGCTGACACACATGATAGTTGATACTCTCTGCGCAGCCATTTCTAGAGTTCACAACAGCCAGTCATCAGTCAGACTTCAGACGAAGCCCGCCCGCCGGACCCTGAAGAAGCCAGCTGCCAAGAAGGAGAAGGTGGACTGGTCCAGAGTCACTGAGGATGAGGAGGACAAGTGCTACGCTGATTTCGTGGAAGAGCGGGATTGGAACCAATCTTTCCACGCGCCTCAGGAGAAGTTTCGTACCTTCAGGCAGACATGGTTCCTGAACCACCAGCACGGCAAAGAACCGAAGCGCTGGTGAGTGTCTTTTTTAAGTGTCCATGCGCACAGACTGTTGGTTCGGCAGCTGTCCCATGATACTGCGCGTGAGATTGTGAGATTTTGGGCATGGAAAAGGTCCGAAAACATGCTGCAATAGTGTTTGCTGTGCATGCTGTGACCATCATTGAGAGTGCTCGTGTTTTGTGCGAGGGCGTTCCAGCAAGACTATACCAAGCACATGGCTTATAACAGGAATCCAAACCCACTTTTGCATCAGTGTTGCCGAAAAGCGCATCGCAAAAGCACTGGAACATGTGCCCAAACTGCTAAACAAGTCGGCAAATAAGAATCCGGGCATTAGATTTAGGACATTTTCAGTTTTTTTGTATCACAGGTTTCAAGTTTTTTGTTTTTACATTTTTTGGTTGGCTTGGCGGAATATGAGCCCCAAATGAAGCTCTGCCATTGAAAATTCCACGAAACTACATCAACCATAGCAAGAATTCATTCAATGCAAGAACCCGGGCAAAATTTTTTATCGCAGGTTTCAAGTCTTTTTACATTTTTTGGTTGGCTCTGCCACTGAAAACTCCACGAAACTACATCAACCACAGCAAGAATTCATTCAATGTGCCAAGCAAATGCACACAAAACTCCACACAAAGCTGCAAACCTATGTTGAAATTGCACTAACGGTGCAAAAAAATGCGTTACATCATCCAAAACTCCATGCGAACTGCCCAACTGCATGCAAATATGAAACTGCACTGAAATTGCAAAAATACATTCAAACTACATCCAAACTTCACTCAATCTGCAAAAGGGCATTCAAACTTCATTCAAACTTCACTCAAACTTCACTCAAACTACACTCAAAGTGCAAAACTGCATTCAAACTTCACTCAAACTTCACTCAACTTCACTCAAACTGCACTAACTGCATTCAAACTGCAAAACTTCACTCAAACTGCAATAATCCTGAATTATTGCTCGACCCTAAGTGTGTTTTTTTTGAGGCGTACGCCATGGATGATGATTGGTGCAGCCCTGCGCCCTTTTGTGAACAACAGAATGACGGTTGTCCTTTGGGTTTGCTACAGGGTATCCTCAAAGAAGCAAGTGTGGCAATATGTGGAACGAGAGCATGTGGCCGCCACAAAGCCACGCATCCAACAGAATGACTAAGGCAACACTCTGCTGGGTGCCAGCCAACATCAACCAACCTTTCAAACGTACCTTGCCACTGCATGCCGGACTCCGAAAGAGCGCCGCTCAAACAAATTTGCCTGTGACATGGACTGAACTCAAGCAGGTTGGCTGATGTAGCCCGGCACCCGTTTCACGATTTTGCCGCGTAAAATGCAAGTAAAAAAGTGTTGTGTGTGTGTTTCTTTGAGGGTGCCCTCCTAAGGTAAGAGGCAATCCAAAAGCAATGCAGTTTTTCTGTTCTTGTTACTGTTGGCACCAACACACACGTTGGAACAGGCTGCGCCACTGCGGGCCTACTGGGAGCGGTTTTCCCTCAACAGCCCTCACTTGCAGGTTTGAAGCAGGGGCTCCATTTTTGAAGATGCTTTTGAGGGTTTGGCCAGAACCTTGAATAAAGCTTGTCTTGAGGAAGCCAAGAGTCCTTTTGACCTGAGAATTCCGCCCACCGCAAAGCACTGAGTGCGAACCCTTTCCGGCGGAAACGCGGAATCTCCACAAGCGGGACAGGTTTCAGCTCAATTCGCGGAAGTATGTTTTTGATTTCGAGAAACTCGAAATGACAAACGAACAGGAGCTCGCCCAAGCAAAACGCACATTAATTGGTTGTTGCGCGCTCCAACGAGTGCGGGCTTGCAACAAATGGCAAAAATGCACCTCTCAATGGATTGGCAGGGGCTAACGAAGTCCCCAATCCAGAAAACGAAGAAGAGGTGCAGGAGGTAGACCCTTTTCCTGCTCAGCGTAGCCATCGGTCGGTGCCGTCAAACGGCAGATACCCACCCTATGTGGGATGAGAGGGGATTCGGGCCATCACGGCCACACATGATATGGATGTACAGGTTTCACATGCCATGAAATGCCGGTTGCGTGGCACGCAACTCACACGGGGAAGAAAGCCTTCACTCAGCCGGTCGGCTGAGGCACACAGGTCCTGCACGCACGGCGGACCTCTACATTCACACCACGGAGGTGTCGGCACTCACGGTTCACATGCCAAACACTGCCGTAGCGGGAGAGCACAATGGGGCCTGTGGGCTGCACTTCGCGTTGTTGTAGCTCACGGAGTAGCGTCTGCATCCGAAAGTTCTGACCCATGAGGTGCTCGTTGCTGCTGTTGGCTTCTTCCAAGTTCATTTCCAGGGTGGTGATCACGGGATCCATGGGCATGGGATCGGTTTGCACGACCGCATCGGTCACGGCCGTATGGTTTCGGCCGGAGCAAGAACAGCTCAGTGCATTCCGAACCACACACCATCCGAACATCAGGAGGAGGGTGATCACGGCATAGTCCATGACCTCAGCGTAGGGCTCGACAAACGTGCCCTCGGGTTCCACAAGCGTGTTCTTCTGGTTGTCCACGTAGGTGGCTTGGCAGAAAGAGACCATAACATCGCCCTGCGCGAGTGGTTTGGGAATAGCTCCCTCCTGCATGTTTTGTTGACGTTCGGCCTTGCTCTTGCGCTTGGCAGCGGTGAAGCTGGGGTCCCACGAAAGCTTCAGCTGGTGTGATCTCAAACGGTCTGCAAGAAGTTGCCGGGTGGACAGTTTGGTCTGGCCGTCGGCATACTGCAACTCACTGCTCATCCACCTGAGGTGTCCGCCGAACGATTGCAGCCTTTCCTTCATGACCATGATCTCCAAACCTGTGCGGCGATCTGTGTTGCCGCCCAACTGCTCGCGCTGGTAGCTGTCATATAGGGCCTTGGCGTCGGTGATCAGAGTTGGTTTGAGCATGCTGCGAACTTCCAAGAGGTCACGGAGCTTCACGTTGGGGTTGAAAATGTGCTCCCAGGCGCGAACAACCATTTCCATGCTGTCCACGGCTTGACCAGCCGCCTGAGCTTCCGCAGCCAGACTGCTGCGACACACACGAGGTAGCTTGTACGAGCGCCAGTCCAAAACCATGTAGGGGAGCTCGTTGCCGTCAAAGCAGGCGGCGTTGACCAGCAGGGTGATGTAGCCACCTTGGGAGCTACCATCGGATCGGGAAGCGAATCCCGCGTCTGTCATAGTGACCAGGCGCAGGTCTGCCAGATTGCCAATGTGCCGGTACTGCAACGTGACATCAGAGTTGTCCTTGGCAAACTTCAACGCGCGGTTTGCCTCGTTGATCGTCATGTTGGTGCCAGTTCCGACCTCGCCGGAGAGAATCGAGGCCGAGCATTGTATATGCGGGCTGGACTGAACAGCCGGCCACTGTAGCGCACCAACCAATCCACGGAGTTGAGAGACTCCGGACGGGTCCAACTTCTGAATGGAGTTGCTGGCCTTGTTCTGGGTGATCGGCTTGATACGATGGAGGTAGTCGTGGTGCCCGAGGTGCCAGACGTCGTTGACCTGCTTGAGCTCAGCACCACAGTACTGGAGTGTGGACTTGTCACTGTTGAACTCCCGGAAGTTGAAGATCTCCTTGAGCTTGACCTCGGCGGCCTGGTAGGTCTCCGATTGTGGGTCTCCGGAGCCAAGTAGATCATCTACATGAAGGCAGACAATGCCACACGGCTCAAGGATGCCAGTGTTGTTTTCGACGTTGCCGTTCTCGGTATCCTTGTTGTAGGTCTGATCCGACAGGTTGGGGTAGAGCATAAAGAGGCAAGGATCTAGTACATGTTGTCGCCACCCTGCATGACGGAGACGTCGGGTGGCTTCCAGGAACCATCTCCTCGGCGCATCAATCTGACCATAGCACGGCTTCATCAGGAGCATCCTGGTGTCCATATCAGCGCCCAGCAATGCCAGGGCGTCGGCAGGCAGCTTCAGCCAGAGTTTCCGGTCCTGTGGCAGACCTTGCAAGAATGCAGTTGCTACATCAGCTGTCCACAGGGGCCACCGATACGTGGCTGCAAGAGCCAACAAAATGGTGCGACTGAGGCGAGGACTCGACCTTGCCTTGCAGGGCATCGGGGTCGGCATAGCCACGAACGATCAGGCGGGCCTTGGCTCGTCTGCTGCCGTCGGCATTCTTGCTCCACTTGAGGAGGATCCGGGCGGTAAGAGTGCGTGCAGGATCGGCCGACTTCACATTGTCGAACTGCCACACATTGTTTTCGAAGAAGGACGAAAGCTCCTTCCGTTTGGCTTCCAGGAACTGCATGCGATCCTCAAGGGTCATGTAGCGCTCCGACAGGTTGTTCTTGTCCTTGGCGCCCCGGCGGACTTGTCGATCAGCTGCAGCGACATAGGCTTTGGCAACTCGACGACCATCGGTTGCAAGGTGTACACGAAGTGGTTCGACCTTCTTCTTGATGTCCCGGACCTTGGCCTTGTCAAAGGTGAAAATGGTGAAGCCGTCCCAGTTCTTGGGAACCTGGGAGTTGGTCCAGAAGTCACTGCCACCATCACGCCAATCATCGGTCTCACGACGGAGACGACCATCAGGTAGACGCCATAGTGTGATTCGCTGACCACGGAGGTCCTTGGGGTCGAAGGGGCAGTCGGTAGCGTCGTGTGGAGTGAACTTGCGAAGTCGTCCACGGACATGATGTCGAATCACACAACCGTCTTTCATCGACCAGTAGTCGTCTGTGTGTCCGGTGAACTGCAGGTAGCCTTCGCCGTCTTGAGTCCATCCAGGTGGTAGAGCACTGAGGTCAAACTCATCAACCGGGAACACAGCATCGGCCAAATCATGGTCGTCAGTTGAAGGTGCTGAGACTTTTGTAGGTCGTGGTGGTGGAGATCGCGATCTCTGTCGACTTGACGATGAGGGTTGTTGAAACAGTGGAGCTTCTTGACGATCTACACGGAGGCGTTGCTGCTCAAAGGTCTCACCTTGCACCGGTCGATACTCAGAGGGAAGTTGAGGTTCAGGTTCGATGACCGGCTCAGTGACAGAGGTTGTGCGAGACACATCCTCTTCCAGGATTCGCCTAAGGTCTTCGTCCAAGAGCTCCTCCGGTACTGGTGGAAGGACTTGGGGATCAGGTGGTGATGGTGCTTGAGGTTCAAGTGGTGGTGGTGCTTGAGGTTCTGAAGACTCTTGGCTTGGTGACGCCGCTGGCGCATCTAATGGAGACTCACGTGCTGGAGCTCCAGGTTCGACAAGGCGTCGGCGTTGCTGAGGGGGCTCTGACACTTCCTCTCCAGACATGTCGAGAGACTGGTCATTGAGATCATCCATAGCCTCCTCGTCGGAGCCGACTTCTTCGATTCGACGTCCTTGGTTGAGTTGCTGCAAATCCCAGAATCGGGTCACTCCCCGGCCACGGAGATTGCGTAGTGCATCAAGAGCATGGTTCATGCCGGAGAGCTGATCCAGGTCACCAAGCACGGGCTTGACATGATGAGGGGCAGCACGAAGCAAGTTGGTGCCATGAACCAACCAGTAGACGGTAGGTTTGCCTTGCTGATCGTCTTCTCGCATAGCCACAACCGCAGGCCCGCGCCATCTGATCTTGACAAGATCGGAGGCCCGAGCATCACGCCAGTAGTAGCAGCTCTGTCCGACTTCCAGGGTCTTGTTGTGGCCAGAATAGCGACGCAGAAGGGCTCGACGCAGCTTGGTGTCGGTGTCGGCACGGATCAGGGCATACTTCGCGGCAGCCCGCTGGGCGAGAACATCCTCGAAGTCACCAGGTTGAAGGTGTCCGGGATTAAGGCCGTCCTCAGTGAGCTCGCCAGGCAGTTTGGGTTGCTTGCCGAGAACCCACTGGGCTGGCGAGTACCCGTGCACATTCGGAAGAGCATTGATCTGCGGGACCATATAGTCCAAGGCTTTACGAACCGCATCACGAGAGTGATCCTGATGATCCGCAAGATAGATCTCAACAGCACGGCGAAGCAGTTGATGTCGCCGCTCGACCACTCCAAGCCGCGTATGGGCCTCTCCGGGGGAGATGACCAGGCTGATACCATTGTCTCGGGCCCAGCTCGACATGGCGTCACTAGACCATGCACGATGTTCGTCGATCATGAGGACCTGCATCGGACCGAAGTGTCGGATCCAGCTCTTCTCCAGGGAGGAGATGAAGTCTGTGGTCTGCTCGTGCCGAATCAGGCGCGCGACCATGTAGCGTGTCGCAGTGCAGACCATGCTGATGATCGGGTACTTGTCATCCTTGTTGGGATCGGGCTTCAGCCACATGACATCGGCTTGTACCACGTCGTTGAAGTTGGTTGACTGTGAGAGCTGTGCAGGGGATGGTCGTGGTGGTCGTACATAGTGCGCACATGCTGGACATCGGTACTCATGTGCCACATCCAGGACAGTACCAGAGGCTCCACGCTGTCGAAGGACAGCAACCAGGGTGTCAGGTGCAGGATGCCCAAGATTTCGATGAAGGCGTTGAACTGTGCGCACTGCCTCCTCCTTGTGGTTGGTGAAGAGACGTTGTAGAACACCTCCAGGCTCTGCCACATCATCAGCGGCAAAGATCCATGACTGGGGCTGTGCCGGTTCCGGGACCATGAGGGCTGCTGACATATGACCGGCCATCTCGGGCTGGTAGTCTTCCATGAAGGCGGTGCGGGAGATGCCGTAGTCTTTGAGATAGCCCTCCAGCCTGCAGTGCATGTGGTCTCCTGAACACCGGTGACACATTGCGGTTGCCATAGCCATCTTGGTGGTGAGCAAGGCCGTAGGCTTCTTGACCAGGAGCCATTCGCCATCAGCATCCGGACAGATGCTGTTGTAAGCACATTGATCGAAGGTGCACCACAGACCAGGAAGAGACCGTAGGGCTCGAGTCTTCCAGGACTTGGCGCTGAGAGGCTGCTCCACGTGTGCATGTCTTCCATCTCGAACTTGTGCCAGGTAGACCTTCTTGACAAAGAGCAAAAAGGTGTCGTGGTGCCATTGACGTAGAGCACGTAGTTTTTCACGCTGCTCAGGAGTTCGGGAGTTGATATTCTGCATGGGCGACCATGGTCCGCAAATGGGTGCCAGAAACACCTCGTCCGGCATCTCCTGATGGAGGTAATCCATGAAGGCGTCCTGGTGCGATTTGATGCGGAAGTCCCACCCGGTGTGGAGCCCGAAGACTTCTGTCTGACCGCCGGCAGCTTGTACATGGTGAGAGATGGCGGCCTTGCCGGCAAAGACTTCCCACACCAGACGTGGTCGGGGTCGTTCCATGGCAGCCAAGGCTTGATCGACTTTGATCTCAGTCTTGTCGATGTGCTGCTTCAGGTGAACCTGAAGAGTCCACAGCTGGTTGGGCTTCAGACGATGTGATGGTAAGTCTTGAGGAGGGGGCGAGACATCCGTGTCGTTAGCCACCATGTTCACGTCCAGGTTTTCAGCCGTAAGGAACTCCTTCAGGGAGACGCCGTACTCGAGGTCCGGCTCGTTGGTCAGCACGTACTCGAACGCTGGTTCAGGAAGGCCTGACCTGTAGTCGTCGTAGCTCTCGACGAGCGACAGCAGGTATTCACCTTGCCGGCCACACTCCAACGGTCGCCAGCCAGAGCCAGGAACCCGCATTGTTTTGCTGGCGAAATCCAAGGTCATGCCGAGGAGCTCCATGATGGGGCGTCCCATCAGCATCGGAGTGTGTCCAGGCAAGAGAAAGCATTCGGCCAACCCGTAGCGTCCTCCAACAAACATAGGAACTTTCACCACCCAGTCGCTCGTCCCGTAGTTGTCGCCACCGAAGCGAAACTCCTTGGTGCACCGGCTCAGATAGATGAGCTCCACGGGGTACCCAAGTTGACGTAGAACTTGAACGTAGGCGATGAAAGTGTGGTAGCCGGCCAGGAAAGATGAGGCACCAGGGTCAAGCATGACGGCATCTGGCCGATCCACTCCGTTGCTGTCCATGAGGATGCCGGCCATCAGAGCCGAGCCATCTTCCAGAGCCGGTCGCTTGTTCGGGCGAGATGACGGTGAGGTTGTAGGCGTAGTCGAGGAAGCCGGATTCCGTGGCATGGGGCAGTTGCTGGCCCAGTGTCCAGCCGCTCCACAACGAATGCAGTGAAGCGCACTCTTGGCCCGATTCTTGGCTTGCGAGGGCTTGCCGGAACCTTTTGACCAAGACTTGCCACCCTTGCCTTTTCCACGGCCGGGTCCTCCTTTCAGCGAAGGCGCCATAGAGCTTGATGATCCAGGACCACCATCCTGCAAGGCGACCACAGGGAGGAATCCACGAGACAGTCGGAGTTCTTGAAAACGCTTGCGAGCATCGACATAGGCAGAGTAGACCTCGTCGTACTCCTCCACGGGCCAGGGGTTGCTAGACTCATCGTCCTCACCGTAGTAGGCCTCGTGGTGGTCCCAGTCGTCCGTCTCGCCGTTTTCGTCGCCGATGGAGTCCCAGTGATCATCTTGCCAGTAGATCTCGTCCGCGTAGGTCTGGTCATCATGCCAGTAGGTGCCGTCGGGGTCGACGTCGTTGTAGGGCTCATCATAGTCGCCCTCCGAGGCCCAATAGCCTGTGTGGCGCCGATGAAATCCGGAGCCCTTGAAGCCAGGGCCGCGTGGGCGATCATGTCCAAACTTGTAGTCTTGACCAAGCACGAAGTACAAGGCCTCGACAACCTTCTCCTTAGTGAGATCCTTGCCGGCCTGCGTCATGATGAGGCGATGCTGATCCTTGCTGAGGTTGGCTTTCCGAAGCATTTGCCAACCCACCACGGATGCAGGAAGCTTCACATCATGTTGTGCCAGGCGTCGCAAGGCTTCGTCGTGCTCGGTGACGTAGCTGAGCAGTGTTTGGCCTGAACGGCGCTGCAGCTGGTTGAAGTAATTGTCGAAGTGCGCGGGGAGCTCCACCCTGTCGTCATACCGAAAGGACTTGTCCAGGATGGCCAGGATATCGTCGAACGCAGAGTCCGCTTCGATCTGAGCATCTTCGAGGTGCTCAACTACCTTCCAAGCAGTGCCAGTGAGGGAACCCAGGAGGTTGTACACAGCCTCCTTGCTGCGCTTGGTAACCGTCATCTTGCGGTAGTACAGGTAGATCCTCTTGCGCCATTCCCGATAGTCCTGCGGATGCCCGGAGAACAGAGGGATGAAGCTGTCCCGAGTCGAGGTGCTGTCCAGCGCTGCAGTTGCCGCTTCAGATGCCATCTGAGAGGCCACTTGGAGCGTAAAGGCAGCTCCGCTACCAATCTCAATGGATTGGCAGGGGCTAACGAAGTCCCCAATCCAGAAAACGAAGAAGAGGTGCAGGAGGTAGACCCTTTTCCTGCTCAGCGTAGCCATCGGTCGGTGCCGTCAAACGGCAGATACCCACCCTATGTGGGATGAGAGGGGATTCGGGCCATCACGGCCACACATGATATGGATGTACAGGTTTCACATGCCATGAAATGCCGGTTGCGTGGCACGCAACTCACAGCACCGGTATACTTCTCACACACGGATTCCATGCTTGGCTCTGAAAGGTGGTGGGTTGCAAAGGCTAGGCGCAAAGGACTGTTTTCGCAGCTGAGATGGAGCCCAGTAGTGATCGAAGCAGTTTAATAAGGCCAACGAAGAGCTACAATAGTCACTGCCGAGGGGCGCTCAGAAAGTCGCATTTCCCGGCAATGGCAGCAAACCGCGCAATACCAAGGCGCAGGGCGGAAGCCCGTTGCATTCGATTTGTAGTTTCAGGTTTGTCTTATGGACAAGAAAGCTGGTGACAACGCACTTCCTAAGTGTATTGGCGATCCGCCTTTGGGGGTTCAACGTAGCGTGAAAATTCAGAGGGCGTTGTTTTTGGGCTCTCCTTTTATTGTTGGCGCCTGGTTGCCCCCCCCACCCAACGTGCCCGACTGGACAGTCAGACTTGGCTTTTTGGGGGTTGGCGTCGACTCCTCTACTTTGCCAGCTGACTACCGTTGTCTTCCGCATTGCCACAGCAAAGATCCCAATGCGTTGCTCAAATTCGCTGCCTTTTGTTTTCGGACTTGCTTTCAGGCTAAGTGTTGAACGTCTTTTTCCTTTTGCCGCTTTGTCTTTGTGCCTTCGAACTGCCCTTTCGCATGGCTTCAAGTTGATCTGCCGGTTGCCCTGTCTAGGCTGACTTGGAAACAGCGAGCTATTCGCGCCATGGGTTTCAGCCCCCCTCACATTGAGGTGCCCAAGCGCTGTGCTCGGTGCGCCTAACAATTCCCTTGAAGGATGCAAGTCTGTACCTCGTTTCAGGCCCCCAACCAACAAGGCTTTGCATTTGTTATTTCGCACTGTCTTGCTTTCTCTGAACTCTTTGAGGCGGCTAAACAAAACTGGACGACAAACAGAAGAAATGCCAATCTACCCTGTTCCGCGTCATGTTGCCCGCGACAATCTGCCAGGCCGTGCGTGCTTCAGCAACGCATTCTGGCACGCCGGCTCAGGCTGAATGAGCTTCACGAAGCTGTCGCCTCGCAAGATGCAAAGCTGGATTGCGCAGAAAGAGGAGCAGAGATCAACACGCTGGTGACAGGTGCACATTTGCCAGCGCTACGGCTGTAGAGCTTGCAGGGCCGACAGGCATCATGCAGCTGCCTCAGCGGTCCGTGCCTGCAAGTTGGCACGCTGTCTCTCCTTTGCGCGGGCGGGCGTCAGATGAGCCGCCTAGCACGTTGGATTGAGAAGCGTGCAAACTCACACCAGTTGAAGTGTGTTTTGCCTCGCACATTGTCCAGAGTACGCCGCGTCTCCGGTTGCGAGGAAACGCGAGGAACGCTTGGGGAGCACATCTCTCCCCGAAACGTGTGCCGCAATGTCACGGTGTTTTCGTTTGCTTTCGTTTGGCTCTATCATTGACCTCCGGTTGCTTCCCAGCTTTGCAGCGTTGGGTGTGTGCGTGAGCAACAGCTTCAAGTCATGGCGCGGCCCAACTCTGAATTTAGCTGGAAGCGAACTTAGCTTGGGCTACGCACGGGCTAGTGTCATAGCAGTTCACCAGGTTTTGCCAGCAGTGGTGCATAGCTTCAAGCACGTGCGAAATGAAGATGATCAACGCCCAGCATTGAACTGGGAGCTTGCTGAAGTGGTGCCGCCAGCCGCGCAGTGGATTGGCGGCGGGCCATTTCTGCTGTTAGCGCTAGTTTGTTTAATTGGGGCCGATTTGCTTGCAAAGGTGCGGCCATCACAAGACGAAGCCCAAAAGTACAAAACTTGGCAAGTTCAGATTGCAAGACGCAAAGCTGGACGGCGCAGAGAGACCGGAAGACATTGGTCCGGCGCTACCTGCAGCTTTTCCTGCAAAATGGCACGCTGTGAGCTCTCCTTTGGGCAGGCAGTCGTCTCCTTGCACGTGTGATTGAGAAGCGTGCAATTTCACAGTGTCGAATTGCCTCACGCCAGTTGAAGTGTGCTGGGCAGTGTGTGTTTTCTGGAGTATGCTGCATTGCCAGGTGTGAGGAATGCAAGGGGAGCGCGGGTATATTTCTCTGCGAAGCGTGTTCTGCAATGACATTTGTGTTTTCATATGTTCTGGTGCGGCTGTATCATTGAACCAATGGGGTTCTTCCTGCTCAGCTGCAAGTCAACGCGCCCAAATATGAAGTCAGCTGGATGGCAACGCCAGTTGGAGTGTGCCGGGCCTCGCTCGTTTGCTGGAGTATGCCGCTTTGTTGGGGGCGAGGAACAAAGTTGGCGCAAGAGTTTTTGTTTCTCCCGGAAGCGAGTGTTGCAAAGTTGCCGTGCATTGGCTTGGTCTTGATCTGCTCTACCATTGAATTGCTTGACTTTTCTTCTTTGGGCGTGCGCGCGCGCAACAGCTCCAATTCACAGCACGGCCTAACAGCTGAATTCTGGCTTGTGCCAGCAATGGCGTGTAAATTTGGGCACGTGCGGGGCGCCCAGGGTTGAGCTTGGAGTTCGCTGAAGCGGTGCCGCAAGACATGCAGTGGGTTGGCGGTGGGCCATTTCTGCTGGGTGCGCCCATTTTTTGATTTGGGCCAACGTGCTTCCGCACAGCCTTTGCAATCGGTTCTGGAAATAGCGTTACGTGCGAGAAGATGACGTTGCCAGTGAGTTGCTTTCAAAGGCGAAGGCATCGCAAGACCAAGCCCAAAAGTACAAGGCTTGGCAAGTTCAGATTGCAAGACGCAAAGCTGGACGGCGCAGAGAGACAGGAAGACATTGGTCCGGCGCTACCTGCAGCTTTTCCTGCAAAATGGCACGCTGTGAGGCTGCAGGGCTCTCCTTTGGGCAGGCGGTCGTCTGATGAGCCGCCTTGCACGTGTGATTGAGAAGTGTGCAATTTCACAGTGTCGAATTGCCCCACACCTGTTGAAGTGTGCTGGGCAGCGCGCGTTTTCTGGAGTATGCCGCATTGCCAAGTGCGAGGAATGCAAGGGGAGCGCGGGTATATTTCGCTGCGAAGCGTGTGCTGCAATGACATTGTGTTTTCATATGTTCCTGTGCGGCTGTATCATTGAACCAATGGGGTTCTTCCTGCTCAGCTGCAAGTCAACGCGCCCAAATATGAAGTCATCTGGATGGCAACGCCAGTTGGTGAAGCCAGAGAAGGAGCAGGTTCACGACGTACTTCCTTGCCAGGTTGGCCACACTGGTATGTCCAAATTTCCGACGCACTCGACACGTCACCTATGAAAATGCTTTAGATTGAATATTTTGCAGGGCCGGGGGGCTTGTCCCAACCACTTGACACACGCTGCAAGGAGTTCATGCCGAACAGGCTGAGTCTGCAAAAGGTCGCCTGCAAGCCACCAGTTGCGCGATGGCAAGGTGGTTTGCTGCAAGCGCACGAGGTGCCATGATGCAGGCCGCGTCAAATCGCGCTGCCACTGTGATCTCCGACCCGCGCGTGCCTGCAACCGCGATTTCAAGCTGCGTGCAGTCAGCTGTGAGATGTTTCGCGTCAGTGCGCTCTTTGCTTGTAGAGGTGTAAGCTGCGTGCTAGACCTCTCGGCAGGGCGGCGATTGGGCGCGATTGCTGACCCAGTGCGCGCGCGCCACAGCTTAACCGGGTGTTCTGCGCGAACTTCCGTCACAATGCGCAGATGAAGTGGTCCAACGTTGGTCACATCTGCAAAAAAATGCATGAAGCCATGCTTCACTCCAGGCAGATGTGCCCTCCAAAAACGCGCGCCGGTCGGCAACCCCTTGATACGCAAGTTCACGCACCAGCCTTGGTGTATTCCCACGCCGTGTTTGGGTCTCGGAAGGTGTTCGTCGCAAAAACATGCTCCGGCTCCTGGCGCTTTCCGACATACCGGGCGAACGCCTCGCGCATTTCCGGAGTATGCCGCCTTTCCAGTTGCAAAAACATCTAGGGTGCAAGAGCATTGCGCTGCACTGTCTTTGTGTTTTGGCCTGCTCTTGTTCAGCTCTATCATTCCATTGCGGTCAGTTCTGGACTTTTCTTCGTTGGGCGTGCGTGGGCCCAGCACCTGCAAGTCATCGCGTAGCCCAACTCTGAATTTAGCTAGAAGCGAAACTAGCTTCGGCTACTCACGGGCTAGTGTTGAAAGTTCAGTTCAGCAGGTTTTGCCAGCAATGCCGCGTAGCTTTGGGCGTGCGTGGCGCGCGGGGCATGGTCGCCCAGGATTGAGCTTGGAGTTCCCTGAAGCGGCGCCGCAAGACGTGCAGTGGCTTGGTGGTGGGCCATTTCTGCTGGTGCTGAGTCTTTTAATTAGGGCCAATGTGCGTTCCCGCAGTGATTGCAATCAATTCTGGTCCAGCCCGCGCTGTTTGCGGGCGTTTGCAAGCAGGGTTGCCGACCCAACGCGCGCGCGAAGATGACATTGCCAGCTTTTTGCTTGCAAAGCTGCAGCCATCGCAAGACCAAGCCCACAAGTACAAGACTTGGCAAGTTCAGATTGCAAGACGCAAAGCTGGACCACGAAGAGAGACAGGGAGACATTGGTCCGGCGCTGCCGCTACCTGCAGCTTTTCCTGCAAAGTGGCACGCTGTGTGGTTGCAGGGCTCTCCTTTGAGCGGGCGGTGCTCTGATGAGCCGCCTTGCACGTGGGATTAAGAAGTGTGCAATCTCACAGTGTCGAATTGCCCCACGCTAGTTGAAGTGTGCTGGGCAGCGTGTGTTTTCTGGAGTATGCCGCTTTGCCGGCTGTGAGAAACGCACGGGGCGCGAGGGTATATTTCTCCGCGAAGTGTGTGCGGCAATGACAGTGTGTTTTCACATGTTCTTGTGTTGCTCTATCATTGAACCAATGGGGATCTTTGTCCTCAGCTGCAAGCCAATGCACGGCCCAAACATGAAATCAGCCGGAAGGCAACGCCAGTTGAAGTGCGCTGAACCTCGCGTGTTTGCCGGAATGTGCCACTTTGTTGGACGCAAGGACAGGGGGCGGAAGAGGATATGCCTTCCCGAAGCGAGTGTCGCAATGTTGTCGTGTTTTGGCTTGTTCCTGATTGCCTCTACCATTGAAATGCTGGGCTTTTTTTCGTTGGGCGTTTGTGGATCCAGCACCTGCAAGTCATCGCGCAGCCCAACTCTGAGTTTAGCTAGAAGCGAAACTAGCTTCGGCTACTCATGCGCTAGTGTCGTATGTTCATTTCAGCAGGTTTTGCCAGCAATGCCGGCGTAGCTCGCAGCACGCGGGGCATCAGCGCCCAGGATTGAGCTTGGAGTTCACAGAAGCGGCGCCGCAAGACGTGCAGTGGCTTGGTGGTGGGCCATTTCTGCTGGCGCTAATTCCTTTAATTGGGGCCAATATGCGTTCCCACAGCCCTTGCAATCGATTCTGGGCCAGCGCGCGCTGTTTGTGGGCGATTGAAAGCAGGGTTGCCGACCCAACGCGCGCGCGGATGACATTGCCAGCTTTTTGCTTGCAAAGCTGCAGCCATCGCAAGACCAAGCCCACAAGTACAAGACTTGGCAAGTTCAGGTTGCAAGACGCAAAGCTGGACCACGAAGAGAGACAGGGAGACATTGGTCCGGCGCTGCCGCTACCTGCAGCTTTTCCTGCAAAGTGGCACGCTGTGTGGTTGCAGGGCTCTCCTTTGAGCGGGCGGTGCTCTGATGAGCCGCCTTGCACGTGGGATTAAGAAGTGTGCAATTTCACAGTGTCGAATTGCCCCACACTAGTTGAAGTGTGCTGGGACTTTCGGATTTTCAGGAGTATGCCGCTTTGCCGGCTGTGAGAAACGCACGGGGCGCGAGGGTATATTTCTCCGCGAAGTGTGTGCGGCAATGACAGTGTGTTTTCACATGTTCTTGTGTTGCTCTATCATTGAACCAATGGGGTTCCTTGTCCTCAGCTGCAAGCCAACGCACGGCCCAAACATGAAATCAGCTGGAAGGCAACGCCAGTTAAAGTGCGCTGAACCTCGCGTGTTTGTCGGAATGTGCCACTTTGTTGGACGCAAGGACAGGGGGCGGAAGAGGATATGCCTTCCCGAAGCGAGTGTCGCAATGTTGTTTGCCTCTACCATTGAAATGCTGGGCTTTTTTTCGTTGGGCGTTTGTGGATCCAGCACCTGTAAGTCATCGCGCAGCCCAACTCTGAGTTTAGCTAGAAGCGAAACTAGCTTCGGCTACTCACGGTCACGGGCTAGTGTCGTAAGTTCAGTTCAGCAGGTTGTGCCAGCCATTGCGCGTGCGCGGCATGCGGGGCATCAGCGCCCAGGATTGAGCTTGCAGTTCACTGAAGCGGCGCCGCAAGACGTGCAGTTTCTTGGTGGTGGGCCATTTCTGCTGGCGCTAATTCTTTTAATCGGGGCCAATGTGCGTTCCCACAGCCCTTGCAATCGATTCTGGGCCAGCGCCCGCTGTTTGCGGGCGATTGAAAGCAGGGTTGCCGACCCAACGCGCGCGCGAAGATGACATTGCCAGCTTTTTGCTTGCAAAGCTGCAGCCATCGCAAGACCAAGCCCAGAAGTACAAGACTTGGCAAGTTCAGATTGCAAGACGCAAAGCTGGACGGCGCAGAGAGACAGGAAGACATTGGTCCGGCGCTGGCGCTACCTGCAGCTTTTCCTGCAAAGTGGCACGCTGTGTGGTTGCAGGGCTCTCCTTTGGGCAGGCGGTCGTCTGATGAGCCGCCTTGCACATGGGATTAAGAAGTGTGCAATTTCACAGTGTCGAATTGCCCCACGCCAGTTGAAGTGTGCTGGGCCTTTTGAAATTTCAGGAGTACGCCGCTTTGCCGGCTGTGAGAAACGCACGGGGCGCGAGGGTATATTTCGCCGCGAAGTGTGTGCGGCAATGACAGTGTGTTTTCACATGTTCTTGTGTTGCTCTATCATTGAACCAATGGGGTTCCTTGTCCTCAGCTGCAAGCCAATGCACGGCCCAAACATGAAATCAGCCGGAAGGCAACGCCAGTTAAAGTGCGCTGAACCTCGCGTGTTTGTCGGAATGTGCCACTTTGTTGGACGCAAGGACAGGGGGCGGAAGAGGATATGCCTTCCCGAAGCGAGTGTCGCAATGTTGTCGTGTTTCGGCTTGTTTGGCTCAACCAGTGAAATGCTGGGCTTCTTTTCGTTGGGCGTGCGTGGCCCCAGCACCTGCGAGTCATGGCCAGGCCCATCTCTGAATTTAGATAGCTGAGGCTACTTACTCACGGCCTAGTGTCGTCGCAGCAGTTCAGCAGGTTTTGCCAGCAATGCAGCGTAGCTTCGGGCGTGCGCGGCAGGGGCATCATCGCCCAGGATTGAGCTTAGAGCTCACTGAAGCGGCGGGCCAAGGTTACAGTGAGCGCAAACAGCGGCAAACAGGCGCAGTTTGTTTTGAGAGCTTCGCTTTTTTGCTGTCTTGCAATGGTAGCGGCGAGGCCAAAGCAACAAGTGCGCCTTGGGAAATGCAACGAAAAGCTACGGCGCATCAAGCGAGAACACAAAACGCAAATCTGTCCTGACTGCACAAGCATTTTCTAGTGTCAGCCTGGGATTGAGCGGCATTCCAGCAAGCACACCCCTTGGCTTTTTTCATGGTAGCTGCTGCGTGCCCCTGCGGTCAGCCAGGGTCAAGCTAGAGAAGGAGCAGATTTCTTGACGCACTTCCTTGTCAGGTTCGCCACACTGGCATGTCCAGGTCAGTCGCTTTAGCTCGCATTTTCAAGAGGTCCTCAGGGACATGCCCCAGCCACCTGATGCACGCTGCAAGAAAGCAAGGCAGGCCAAGTCTGCAGAACGCCGCCTCCAAGTCACCAGTCAAGTGCTGGCAGCGTGGCGTGCTGCAAGCGCACGAGGTGCCATGATGCAAGCCGCTTCGTGCCTCGAACCGTCCAACGCACTTTGCTCTGAGAATGTGATCTCACTCCCACGCGTGCGTGCCTGCAACCGTGGGTTCAAGGTGCGTGCAGTCAGCCGTGTGATGCTTCGCGTCAATGTTGGAGCGCCCTTTGCTTGTAGAAGTGCTAACTGCGGTCCACGCCTCCCGGCAGGGCAGGCAGGTCGCGATTGCTGAATGAGGTGCCCCGAGCACGCGTGCCAAAGCTCTGCCACTTCACACGACTTTGCCATCTCTTCGCAGCTCCAGCAGCAACTCCGTGCCTATAGTTGTCGGCTACCGCAATGCCACCGTAGTCCCCTTGCCTTGAAGGTCCACTCCTGCAAGTTGTCCGCCTGCATGAGCTTCTTCCACTGATCCGTCCTCCACCATGAGCCGGACCGTCAAATACCCCCGACCGAGTTGCTGGAAACCGGCGGGCGCTCTACGCGAACTGCCGGCGCAATGAGATGAAGTGGTCTGACGCTGTTTGGATTTTCAACAAGCCGCGCCTGTTTCGCCTGTTTGCGGGCAGGCGCTCCAAAACGCGCGCCAGCCGGCAGAACCTTGGTACGCAATTTACCAACCCCCGCGTGTTCCCACGCCGTGTTTGTTGTCGCAGCAACAACACACTCCTCCTCTCGGCGCTTTCAAAAACACCGGGCTAACAGCGCAAGCTTGTTAGCATGGAAAGCGGTGTTTGCAAACCTTGGTATGCTTGGTATGGGGGGTAGGTCGCTTCTTCAAAGTGACCCGTCTCGGATCTGCCGCTTCAGTAAAATCCAGCGGTAGTGCCTCCAGCTGCACTGCATGTGGCCGCTCAAGCACGGGGCGCTAAGCGTTTGAAGACACAATGATGTCAGCAAACGTGGCAGAAGCCTGGCTGAGCACAAGGGCCGTGTCGGCCTGTTTAACGTTAGCTGCGCGACGTTTAGCTCCAATGTGCTGGGGGCACCGGGCGGCTTGAGAAGCGCATGTTGCAAAGCTGCGCGGTCACCCAGAGAGCTGTGGAAACAACCTCAAGGCACACGCCGCCCGACCTTGGAGCCAAAATTGTTTGTGGCTTGTGGCTTGAAAGGGCGGCCTTAAAAGGCACTTGTCGCTAGGCTGCCACCTAGCCAAAGGAGGTGCGAAAAGCTCTTGGAAAAGGAGGTGTTGGGGGATCCATTCATGCCTGATCATCTTCGGCAGGACAAGATTCAACGAGACACGGGCCGGCGCACATTGTTGCCGACGCCGGCATTTGGTGTCTAGAGGCCTATGGGCCTATGGATGCCCCGCAGACGCATAGCTGCGCGCTGCTTCTTCTTAAGGAGGGTGTCTCGCTGCTCCAGCCTGGCGCGCTAAAGAGCTGGGCAGCCAGGTTGTGCTGTGAAGCTACCAAGCTAATGTGCGCAGCCAACCAGGAAGCAAAAGGCAACCCTGCGAACGCGTGGGGACGGAAGATGGCAGAAGCAATCTGCGCTTCCCTTTTTCACGGAATGCTTGGAGCACCGCGCTATGTCGTCAGTCTTCGCATTGCCAGCAACACCACGCTTCGCGCCAAAGCCCGCGCTGCTTGCCAGGTAGGGGCTGCCTGCTGCTGCCAAGCAGTTCCCGGCACAGCAGCAAGCGGCTTGCTGCTTCCAGGGCAAGAAGCCAGGTACTTCGTTTGAGAACGTCAGCAGCGACCATATTCGCACGCGAGGGACGTTGAAGCTTGCAGACGCCTAGTTGCCGGCCCAAGGCGAGGCCAAACTTGCCACTTGTACGGGGCGCAGGGCAAGTGCGCAGCGCAGGCAGGAGGGTAGGCAAACCCCCCACGCGCTTCTACCTTAACGCTCAGGCCAAACCGCCGAAAATCTGCAATCGAGCAAAACCTCGTACTCCATTGTTCAAGACAGGGTTTAGGGCGAGCAAGGCGCATGGATTTCTGCATTGCCCCCTGGCCCGGCCGGTGTTGCTTAGACTCTTAGATCAGACGAGCAAGCTGCTGCAAAGCTGCTGCAAAGCAGTTTGTGTCTCGGTGGGCGCTTCCGAGTTGCTAAGACCAGCAGGCTTACGCAGCATAAGCTGTCGCAGGGTGAGCTTCTGATGGCAGGAGTTGTTTGTGAATCTTGCTCTAGCGCCCCAGGCCCGAGGGAGTATATTGTTTCGATTTTTGACAGGCGAGGCAGCCGCTGCACAATGTAGGGGTGCTGCCCGCAGACAACTCTATCAAGTGTATCAAGGGGGATCAGACTCACACAGCTTCGGCCACAGCGACAAAGAAGTTGAGCTGTCGTCTGGTGCTTGGCAAGCATGGTGGGGCTGGAGGGGCCAGCTGGTAAGGCGGCGGCATTTTGCCAGAACCGCTTCGGGCGCCAGGCTCGCGATGTGTGTGTGGGCCAAGGCCTGGTGCAAGAAGAGTGTGTGATTGTGCTTGTAAGCAATAAGCTAACAAGGCGAGAATGTTTCTGCCGCCCAAAAGGTGAGCGGCCTTTGGCCGCGCCGTGTGCTCTGCCAGCATGCTCGTGAGTCAGAATGGAGGGCCAGCGCTTGGCCTTTACCCCATCACTCCTGTCCTTGTGCGCTCCGCAACTGGAGAATGGAAAAACTCGGGTGAGCACCAAACACGTTCTACAGCCCAATGAGGGCCTGACAAGTCCTATTGGCTGAGGGAATTCAACAGAATTTGTTCAACGCAAGTTGCGGCAATGCGTTGAATCCAGGGCAGCCGCGACGTTCGGGGAGTTTAGGCCACATGCGCTTGGCCAGTTAAGTCGCTATTTGAGCGTCTGCACGGGGTCGAAATAAGAGCTACGAAGTTTGTGCAATGACGCATCAAAATCAAGCACTTTGCGCCCTTGACACGCAGCGCAGGCAAGGGCTGGATAAGCACCAAGAGGTGCCCAATAAAACTGGGGGCCGAGGCTCCTTCTTGCTGCAATCAATGCTGCAGGACAGATTTGCTGGCGCTCGACTGTTTCTCATGAATGAGCTGCCAGATTAACTCAGCAGGGCAGGCCGAAGTTTGCAAAATTGAGATTTTGCTGCGCAACCTGCTGGCCAAGCAAGCTCTCAAGGCGAGGCAGGGTTCTGAGCGCGGACGCTTGCCGAGGCTTTGCGGCCGCGGGCCAATTGCCCCGGCTCATCCCAGCCTAAGGGTCCCAGCGGTGCAAGGGCCAATTAAGGTAAATGGGGGCCGACACAGCCGTTTTTTGGCTGATGAACGGAGAAAGGATTTTTGCAAGAGTTGTGCCTTTGTTGATCACACAGCTTTGGGAACCCCTTCTTGCGCAGCCAAGCTGCGCACAGATACCTAGAAACCCTTTCGGCTGAAATTTCAGCCGGAGTCTGAAATTCATCAAGTTTTGGCCGAAGTCATGAACATTTGCCGGAATCAGCAACACCAGCCGGAATTGGACCGCTGAGTCTCAAGGAGAATAGTACTGATAGTTGCCGGAGAGGCAGGGTTCTGAGCGCGGACGCTTGCCGAGGCTTTGCGGCCGCGGGCCAATTGCCCCGGCTCATCCCAGCCTAAGGGTCCCAGCGGTGCAAGGGCCAATCAAGGTAAATGGGGGCCGACACAGCCGTTTTTTGGCTGATGAACGGAGAAAGGATTTTTGCAAGAATTGTGCCTTTGTTGATCACACAGCTTTGGGAACCCCTTCTTGCGCAGCCAAGCTGCGCACAGATACCTAGAAACCCTTTCGGCTGAAATTTCAGCCGGAGTCTGAAATTCATCAAGTTTTGGCCGAAGTCATGAACATTTGCCGGAATCAGCAAAACCAGCCGGAATTGGACCGCTGAGTCTCAAGGAGAATAGTACTGATAGTTGCCGGATGTTGCCATGTTGCCGGAATGGACTCAAGTTTCCTGTTCGGAAAGTTTCGCCGAAATTGTGGGAAATTTCGCCGGAGCTGGACTGAGCGGAACTGCGGCAAAAGTTTCTACGAATCAGGCCAAGCGCATGTAAAATTCCAGCAGCTGCCCTCTGAGCTTCGGCTAACAGTTCTGCAGAGCCCCTTTACTTTAGCTCACGCCGCGGCAGGAAGAACCCTTCAAAGAAGACTTTTGCAGAACCCTCCCAAAAACTTTGTTTTTCTTGACAGGCCCCGGCAACATGGTCATGCGCAGACCTGCGCTCCATGTCTGTCTCGAGTTGAGCTCAGGCGAGGCTGGTCGTCAGGCTCAAGAAATTTTCGAAACCCCATGCTATTTGGGCGGGTGGGGTGGGAGGGGTGGGCAAAAGAAGAAGTGCAAATTTTGTGCAACAACGCATCAAATCCAAAGCTTTGACCCCATTGCCCGAATAGGACTCAATAGGTGCAATGTTGCTCAAAAAAGCCTGGCCTAGGCTCCTTCTTGCTGCAATCAATGCTGCAGGACAGATTTGCTGCCCCGGCTGCTGGATCTCCATTCCTGCTCATGAATGAGCTGCCCGGTGAACTTGGCAGGGCAGGCATCAATTTGCAAAACTAGGAAGCTGTTGCTGCACAACCTCGTGCCCAACCTCCTGGTCCGAGGTTCTAGACTCGGGGAAACTTGCCGCCTTGCGAGCCAAGGGTTGTCGCGTCAACGACATATTGGGAGAAGCATTAGAGGAGCGACTTGCTTGGAGGTGCAAAACGGCTTTCCCAATTCAAGGCAGAGTTTGGAGCGTGGACTCTTGCACGCAGGGGCTCACTAACACACATCCTCTTGCGCGGTGGGAGAGGCTTTCATCCAAAACTGTGCAAAGCAAGCTGCCGCATCTCATTGAATCCATGGGCAGCCGTGAGCTTCGGGAAACTGTCTCAACATGCATAGGCCAGCTGAATCACTACTTGCGTGTCCGGCGGGGATCGTGCCCAGTTTGCACAACGAGGTGTCAAAATCCAAAACTCTGGCCTTGCGCGCAGGCCCTTGAAGATATGGCCCTGCAAAGTTAAGAGCTTCGAGGCCTTTGCACTCTGCGCATGCGACAGCCATATGGGGCCCGATGTGGCAGCACGCCGTAGCACGCCACCAGCACCAGCCGTGTGCGTCCAGCCACCAGCCATGTGCATCCACTTGTGCGGCGGGTTGCCGCTTGTAACCTTGGGCTCTATCCGGCTTACCTTCCGCTCATTTGTGTTCAAAGCAAGCTGCCGCATTTTGTTGAATTCATGTCAGTCGTCAGGTTCGGGATTTTTTTGCCAAATGCACTTGGCCAGCTGAATCACAGTGGGGTGGGCAAGATATGAAGTGCCAAATCT